GAAGGTGCTGGCCAGTTCCGCCGGCCCTGTTTAGCCCCGTGCTTCCAGACGGACCGGAGCGCAGGACCCTTTCCTCACGGACCCGCTACCCACGCCCGGGACTGCCGCCCAGACGGGGCCGGGCCCAGCTCCGTGTGAGTCACGCCAGCCGTGAACACACGCACACCCCGTGATAATACAGGCGCACACGGTGCGCACTCGCGTGGTTTCTAGCTCGTGTGTCCGGCTCCGAACACCACTGGGGTGGCCCTGGCCAGGCACTCTGCCCTGAGGCCGGGCGCTGGGACAGGGTGGAGGGGCCCTCGGGAGCCTGAGTCCCCTGGCGCCGGCTCCAGCCCTCGTCCTGGGAACACCAGGTCCTGCTCCCCGGAAAGTGTCCCAGGGCTGGGCAGATGGGCGTCACCAACAGCCCCCAGCCGCCCTGGCGCTGGCGGCCAGAACGCTGGGCCCAGGTAGGGCAGGTACTTGCCCCAGGCTGCCTGCTCCTGCCGGTGCCCCTCGGCTCTCCTGTGTCCCCCCCTCCCCGTGATTCGGGCCCTGAGGCTCGGCCATCTCCTACCAGCACCTGTGTGCAGGGCCAAACAAGGTCTGGTCCCTGAGTCTTGGCTCCAGGACTGCAGCGTCTTCTAGGCCCCCGGCTCCCTCCAGGGCCACCGGTTTCTGTGTCTGTCTCTGCCCAGAGGAAGCTTCAGCATCTGCTCTTCACTCCTGGCTGCTTCTGCAGCCTTTGGGTCCCTTCTGCAGGTCCCACGGTGCTCACTGAGGCCCCCTGCCCCTTAACCCCCACACCCCAAATCGGTCAGCCAGGGTTGAACTCTGCCAGGCTTTTTTTTTGCACTACTGGAGAATTAATTCAGCACCTCTGCACTGAGCTACATCCGCAGCCTTTCTTTATTCTTTATTTTGAGGCAGAGTCTCAAATTGCGCAGGCTGAGCTCCAACTTGGTATCCTCCTGCCTCAGCCTCCTAGAGTGCTAGAAACACAGGCACGTGCCATCATGCCAGCTATGCTGGGGGCACACAGGAGCAGGGACATGTGTCCCCAGGGTTCTGCCTTCACAGCAGGTGAGGGAGGGGTGCCTTTAGGATTTGGGGGACCCTGAAAAATGGGGTATAGAAGCCACATCCTGTGAGGAGGCCACGCTCACGCTGGCGCGGGTACTGATGCGCCCCTGCCCCAATGTCCTGCTCTGTCTGAGGAGGGACAGTGGTCGGTCACCAGGTCCCGGCACCACTGCCCGGTGGTGTGGAGGGGTCAGGGCTGCGAATGCCAGCAGGTGCTGGGCATGGCAGGATCAAGGCCCGCTCTGCGCCAGCTCCCTCCCCAACAGAGATGGGCAGTGGCAAAACACGGTCCACAGCTAAATGAGACATCAGCCTGGCGTGGTGGCCGTGCCTATAATCCCAGCACTGGGGAGGCTGAAGCAGGAGGATCCCCATGAGTTTGAGGCCGGCCGGGGCTACATATGGAGACCCTGTCTCAAAACAAAACAAAACAAAACAAAACAAAAACAAAAGAAAGTAGGTGCATTGCCATGAATCCTCCTCCAAAGTCTTCCCCTTCTTCTTAAACACACATCCCGTCATCCGTGCTACTTTCTGGGACAGCTCTGGAGTCCTCTTTCCTGAGTGTCTTTATGAGGTGTGATAAAAAACACAGTGAGTGCTGCTGCAGAGCACCACCCAGTGGAAAGGCAGGGCTGTAAAAACATGAGGCTGTGGGACCTGGTAGGTGGCTCAGTGCTGCTGCTGCCTGACTTGGAAGCCCCAGGTCCTGAGCTTGATCCCCGGTGCCAGGAAAAAAAAAAAAAAAACCCCAAAAAACAAAAACATGAGGCTGTGGGACCTGGTAGGTGGCTCAGTGCTGCTGCTGCCTGACTTGGAAGCCCCAGGTCCTGAGCTTGATCCCCGGTGCCAGGAAAAAAAAAAAAAAACCCCAAAAAACAAAAACATGAGGCTGTGGGACCTGGTAGGTGGCTCAGTGCTGCTGCTGCCTGACTTGGAAGCCCCAGGTCCTGAGCTTGATCCCCGGTGCCAGGAAAAAAAAAAAAAAAAACCCCAAAAAACGAAAACATGAGGCTGTGTCCTCATCCAGCTTAGTCACCAGATCCGGTGCCGCATGACTCCCGGCTCTTCCCCAAAGTCAAGATGGCCATAAAAGGGCAACATTTTGAATCTCTTCAGGATGTGAAGGCAGCCAGGACAGCACAGCTAAGACCCCAGGAAAGAGCACGGCAGAGCGGCGGCAGGAAGCGGCCGGGAGGAAGGGATGCGTGTGTGCGAAGGGACGGGAGGGTCTGAGGGGACGCCGGGCGTGCGTCTTCTACTGCAGTGGGTTTTTGTGTGAACACACAACGCATTTACAGTCATTCCTCGTCGACCCCGCAGCTCTGTCCTCCCTCATGCCCGGCTGGCAGTGGGTCCTGAATTTTCCCAGGTCCCCAACCTCCCTGCCAGCCCTATGACCTGTGCCCACGGAAACCAGACGAGGCTTTCTGCCTGGGGCCCGCGGGCCTTGGCTGTACCAGGTGGCGAGGCCTCAGGCCGCTCAGGCTCCACACTCCACGCTCCGGCCCTGGCGGGGCCTCAGCTGCTGTGTGCTGGGGCTGACTGTCTCCCTGTGGGCGTTAAGAGTGGGCATCTGGGGTCCAGCCTGGCACAGAGTGGCCCAGGCCCCGGACCCGGCAGAGGACTCCGCACCCCCAGGCACCGAGAGGCACATCTGGGCTTGGACACACACAGTCAGGACACCTGACTTCCGGCCATGGCTCCCTGGCCCCTGGGGAGGAAGCTCTGTCTTTGCCAACTGAGACGGGCATCTCTGGGAACCCGCGAAGGGCCGTGCGAGGCCGCAGTGCCCACGAGAAGCAACGGTGTTGGTGCAGAATTGTGGCTCCTCTGAGGGGTCCGCCCGGCTCCATAGTGACTGTGAAGCTTCAGGCATCTAGGCTCCTGGTCCCACGAGAGCAGGGGCCTGCCTGTCCCCTCCAGCTCCAGGGAAGGGATCAGTGCCTCAAGGTCAGAGGGGGTGACGTGGGGGTGCGAGGGGAGGATTCAGGGAGGGGACGAGGGCGACAGAAGTGCAGCTCAGGGCCTTTACGCTAAGCCAAATTCTCAGCCCTTTTTTATTGTGAGACAGAGTCTCCTAAGTCCCTAAGTTGCCCAGGCTGGACATGAACTGGGGATCCTCCTGCTTCAGCCTCCCGGAGTTTGAAATGACAGGTGCGCACTCCAAGCCACACCCCTCTTTCCCTGAGATAGAAGGAGGACCCAGAGGTGAGGACGGTGGGTGCCTGGAGCTGGGAAGGGGACCTGCCCCCTCTGGAGTCCCAGGAAGGGACTTGCGGCCTCCAGGGTGCCGGGATAAGGAATGTGTGCTGTTCTCAGCACCAGACTCTGGCATCTGTGCAGCTCAGCTGGAGCAGACGGAAGAGCCCTCAGGGCTGAGGGGGCCCTGCGGAAATGACTCTTGCCTGGTGATTCAGGGAAGGGGTGGGAGAGGCACCCCAGACACCACGCAGCTCTTAGGGGCTAGCTGTGCCCCCAAAGGTGCCCCTGTCAGAGTCTCCGCCAGTCCCAAATAGGGCTGCTTGGAGACAGGTGCTTTAAAGAGGAAGCCATTAGTGTGGGTCTAGTCTCAAACCCGCTGCTGATGTTCTTACAGGAGGGAGATTAAAAACGAGGTGTGGTGGTGCACACTTGTAATCCCAGTACTTGGGAGGCTGAGGCAGGAGGATCGTTGTGAGTTTGAAGCCGACTTGGGCTACATAGTTCATTAACTTGAACGGCATAGTGAGACCCTGTCTCATAAAAACAAATGATTTTTGAAAGTAGAAGGGAGATTAAGGCACCGACACGCACAGACAGAGGGGCACTGTTCTGGCTGAGAGGAGTAAAAGGCGGATTGATGAGGTCACCTGGTGTCACCTGAGGAAGGACAGGGCCAGGGCGAGCAGGGCAGCGCAAGTGCAGCGCATTCAGGGAGCCCAGGGGACCCCGTGGCAGCCCCTCTCTGGAAAACCACTTCCCGGGCCGAGGCAGCCGCTGCCACTCGGAGCCCCGACCCCACTTCCCTGCACAGGGAAAACCCAGAAGACTCAGGAGCTGGAAAAGCCATGGACTCCCAGATCCCCCGCCATCTGGCCCGGGAGGGAGGGAACAGTTGGCGGCCACCTCAGCCTTGTGTTATGTAACCCACGTGCGCGCACACGAGGCCAGGGCCCCGCCTGGCCAGAGCGGCTGACCTTCCCACGTGTGCAGTGGGCCTCGCACACAGCAGGAGGAGGCCTGGGGACGGACAGTACCCAGCTGGTACCCACAGTGGTGCCGAAGCACGGAGCCTGCAATGCACACACACACACACACACACACACACACGTGTGGCACACAGAGCCGCTCCACGTGCTTCCTCAGCGTGCACGGAGGTGCAGACACGGATGCACTCACACTTGCACACAGATTCATGTGTGCACTTTGATATAAAATTGTGCACAAGTTTGCACTTGCTGCCGTGCACAGGAAAACCTGTAACCTTCTTTCGGGTGCGTGCACGCCCACCCGTGTGCATCTGTGCACTCCCAGGGCTCGCACGCACTTGCACGGTGGTGTCCACGCGTGCGCTCCTGCTTGGACGTTCTCTCGCACACGCATTTACGTGCATCCTCATACCCACGCTAGGTGCAGCAAATACGTAAGACCGGATTCACGAGCGCCTCTGTTCACAAACAGCTTGGCTCGCAGACAGAACTGGCCGGCAAAATTTAGCTTCCTTTTGCGAATTCCCCATCGGGCGAAGAGCCTGAACACGGCCGTGACCAGCAGGACG